ATTTTTTTAAAATTATTTCACTAAATGATATTAATATTTTATTTTAGGAATGTAAATCAATATTAATTTATTTTATTTGAAACGGTTGCATTTAAAAAATTAAAATTTAATTYTAAATTAGGAATTGACTAACATACCATTTTAATTTGATTTAAATTGTATAATTAATATGTTAAAATGATTGGTTGAGATTGGTTCTCACAGTTACCACAAACAACTCAGTTCTCCCTTGAATAGGCCCATATATATATATATATATATATATATATATATATATATGTGTGTGTGTTATGTAAATGTTTCTTGTTAGCAATACTTTATGGGAGTAAGAAAAAAGTTGTAAGGGGCATGCTTCTTTTAAGAATTTATGAACAAATGATTAAAGGAGTCAAATTATGAGGTTTCTATGAATGTGTTTGCTTTAGAAGACGGTATGATCACCTTTTTACTGTTTTGTTATGTAATCGTCAACCCACATTGACTAAGGTAGCAATCAAAATTTAGGTCCAAAATGTGGTGTTTGGTTTGATGAAATTGTTTCGAGGGATTTGAATTTTGTAGAAGAATTTGAAATTGAAAGGGTTTGGAATTTTTGGTGTGTTTGATTTGATAAATTTAGAATGAAATGGAATTCCATTCCATTTTTTATAAATTATTTATAAAAGTAAATTATAAATAATTATAATAATAATTAAAAGCATCATTTTATTAATGAATTATTAGATTATATAATGTTTTAAACATAATTTGAAACATTATTATATATATAAATCTTATAAAATCCCGTGAAATCCCAACCACCTCAGTGGATTTCAAAATCCTATGTATGAAGGATTTCAATATAATCTTAAGATTTCATATCTAAACAATCATGGATCCAAATGGAATGGATTTGAAATTACAAATTCCTCGATTTCATTTCATTCCTGGAAAACAAACAGACTCTTGGTTTTTTAAATCAATAAAAAGTATTCCTTTTTTAATGGTACATAAAATCCTCAATAAGACCAGCAAGAAAAGCACCTAAATTTGATACATTGAGAGAGAATGTGGTTAAATGTATTAAGCAGTAATCAATGAAAATAAAAATAAAAAAAATTGTTTGGTTTTTTATAATACAATGAGTTTATTCCTCCAGAAGCCCAAAATTTTGTTCCTGATTAAACTAGGGGAATGAAACTTCATTTTCTATCATTTTTTATTTTCATTCCTCAGCATTGGCCAAATATACTCTACATATATTGAAATGAATAGAATGATTGGTATTTACATGTAAATATTGAACTCTATTTTTAAAGAATTGCAATATATAAATTTTGATATATTTTTTAATTTTTTGTTAATTTTAATCTGACAAATTTTATCCTTAAAATTTAAAAATTCACCAATCAAATTGCGACATGTAGCAAGAAATTTTGTTCATATAGGAATTGATTAAGACCAATCATATCAAGTACATGTAGTAGAAATATTAGCAACAAAAGTAACCCTGAAAAATTCCCTTTTAAACAATAAAATCTAACCTTCCAATTCTTAGGGGGTGTTTGGGTAAAGCTTATTTAAAACAACTTATGTTTTTTTGTAAAAGTGCTTATTAACTTATGCGGTATCAAACTGGAGTTTTGTAAAAAGTGTTTGGATTAGCTTATAGCGGTACCAAACTGCAATAAGCTGATAAGTTGTTTTTTAGTGTTTGGCAAATTTTGCTTATAGATGTAAAATTACCAAAAAGGTCATCCAACCCTATTTTCTCTCGTGTTCATCGTGTACCTCCAGTGTTCATCCAATGTTCATCGTCTACCTCCAGTGTTCATCCCGTGTTCATCGTGTTCATCGGAGATGCTTGCAATCATCTCAGACTCCTTGTTCTACATCGATTCTGGTTTGATTTCACTCATCCGTCTCCTCAAGAAACATCGATTCTGGTTTGATTTCACTCATCGATTCTTGTTCTACATCGATTCTTGTTCTACATCGATTCTAGGGTTATCGATCTCTAGGGTTAGGGTATCGGAGAAGAGAAGAGCTCGATGAGAAGGATCGATTTTGGAGAAGAGAAGAGATCGATACCTGGAGAAGAGATCGATGAGAAGGATCGATTTTGGAGAAGAGAAGAGATCGATACCTGGAGAAGAGATCGATGAGAAGGATCGATTTTGGAGAAACGTATTGGAGATCTGATCGATTTTGGAGACGTGATCGATTAGGGTTAGACAGGGTTAAAATGGTAAATCGGTAATAAGTCAATTTTCATAAGTTACTATGGATTAACTTATCAAAAATAACTTATTACCGGTTTGGTACCGGTATAAGCATTTTTTTTTTTTTTTACCCAAACACTCCGTTTTAACTTATCTCCGGTACCAAACTGAAATAAGTCAATAAGTCACTTAAATAAGCTTATCCAAACACCCCCTTAATATCATCATATTCACAGTATGGCTATGAACTGAGAGCTCTTCCCTGTAAATCTTCAGTTTCTACCCAACTTAACTTCTTCACTAACAAGTAACAACCACCATCATCTGCTGCTGCAAAATTCTAAAACATTCGCACTTATGAACACTTCCGAATGCCAAATTGCAAGCAACGATCACGTAAAATGTCGCACTTCCAACCATCATCATCTTCCAAAGCTTTTGCATACCACATCGATCAACTGCGTTCGCCAACCATTGCTCGTACTTAATTAACGAACATCTTGATATCATGTTTTAATAATGCAAGCAGACGGACTCTTACAATATGTCAAATATCAGTTTTGGACTTCAATGTAATTCATGCTACCACCTACACCTACTTTCCAAAAAACCTGAAAAGGGTTTTAAAGTTTAGTCATCCATCCATTCATAAATACACAAAATTTTAAGTCATAACTACTTCAATAAACACAGTTGGCCATAATTGTTGCTAGCCATTGCTCTCGAGCTGTTTGGTTGGTTTTCCATTAACTCCTCGATGGGCTAAATTGTCGTCTGGTCAACTAAAAAGTGTAATAATTACACATTTTCAAAACTGGGTCTTTTTCACTGCAGACATTTATTCTGGGAGGGGGGAGTAAATATGCATACGACAAACAAGTTTGAGTCAAAATAGTTGGAAGCAAACCTGCGAGATGATGTCGTTAGCTTCATTAGTCGTTGAGAAGTCCACAGGCACCAGGCAACAAAAATATCCATATTTACAATGGTCAATGTCAAGATTCAGATTCTATGTCCACGAGACATCGACTTAGATTTCCTTCCTCAAAAGTAATTTGCAGGATCAAATTATCAACGCACTATTTGTACTATATCCAACTACACCCACGAAGTTTTCTGATTCCCATCTCAGTCATTTGTTTCCTTACATGGTTAACATCAGACCACTGATCTGAAGCTGCATACATGTCAGATAGCAGCACATAATTCGCAGCATTTTGAGGTTCAATCTTAAATAGCCGAGCTGCAACCTCTTTACCCAATGATACATCACCATGGATCCTACAAGCCCAAAGAAGAGCACCCCAAGCACTGGCATTGGGTTCCACGGGCATTCCTATAAGAATATCATATGCCTCTCTTACCCTTCCCGCACGACCAAGAAGATTGACTTTACATGCATAGTGATCAGCCGAAGGAGTTAGAGAGTATTCATTAATCATAGAATCAAAAAGACGGCAGCCTTCTTCAACAAGATCGGCATGACTACAAGCACTCAGGATGACAGTGAAGGCCACATCATCTGGGGTCAGCCCTTCTTGTAGCATCCTGTGGAAAAGGGCAACGGCTTGAACACCATGGCCATGAACGGACAATCCTTGAATCATAGAAGAATAAGAAATCAAGTCCCGTCTAGACATTTTTTCAAACAAGGTTGCTGCCCTCTCCAAATTCCCACACTTTGCATTCATGTCCACCAGCGCTGCAGCCACGTGATTTTGGCTACGGTCAATTGAACTTTCACTCATATAAGAATCAACCCACTTAGCCAACTCCCAATCCCCGGCTTGTGAACACGCTGACATTAGGCTCACCATGACATATTCATCTGGCTTAACATTCCTAGAACGCATGTCGGTGAATATTTTTATAGCTTCTTTTGGTTGACCATTCTGAGCATACCCAGCTATCATAGCTGACCAAGTAACAATATCTTTCTCAGGTGATTGATCAAACAAAGACCTCGCTGATGCCATATCCCCTGACTTAGCATAACCATTGATCATCGTGGTGAAGGAAGCCGTATTCTTACAAGGCATTTCGTCAAACAATAATTTAGCAGTTAACAAATCACCAGACTTAATAAACCCATTAATCATGGCATTCCACGAGGCATGATTTTTTTGGGGCATTGCATCAAACAACTTCTTGGCCAGTAAACAATCTCCATTAGTTGAATACCCAACAATCATAGAAGTCCAAGTAACTACGTTTCTGACAGGCATTCGATCAAACACCTTTCGAGCATTTGCAATCTCTTGACATTTCCCATAGAGATCAATCAAACTAGACCCAACAAACACATCAGCTTCTGTACCATACTTAATTATCAACCCATGAAGAACCTGCCCTTCCCTTGACGCTAAAGCACAAGAACAAGCTTTAACCAACAAGGGGAACGTGTATTTGTCCGCAGCAACATAATAACTTTGTTTCATGCGCCGAAAAAATTTGATAGTTGTGGCCAGAGATGAGTGTGTGCAGTGGCATTTAATGAGAGTGTTCCAGAGATAAACACCAGGATGAAGAACACGGTCGAAAACGGTTTGGGCGTAAGAGAGGTTGTTAGGAGAAACAGAGTTACAGGCAGAGATGAATTGAGTTATGAGGAAATGGTCTTGTTCAGAGCCCTTGCGGATGATCTGGGCGTGGACTTGTTCAAGGTTTCGGACGTTTTTGCAAGCTTTTAAAAGAGACAAGGTTGAGAAGGCCAGTGAAGACGAGGAAAGCAGTTCGGTGGTCAGGGTTGAGCATGGACTGATCAAAATCATATGAGGATGTGATTGCTTTACTGCAGTTTCTCCGGCAATAGCATATGGTTCCCTCTTGGCATCTGTTGTTAACTCGGGCAAATTTTTTTGTATGTTCACAGCCTGAGCCATCATGCTGGCAGGGTTTAAAGCATTCATAGGGAGCTTTAGAGTCGTGCCCTTGAAACGTGGACCGAGAAAAGGTAGTAAGCAACAACCTAGATGAGTAAGAAGCAAGTTCAATCATCGAGTGTTTATGACGACTAACCTCTTCCATCACATTTCCAAAAGCGTTAATGTATTGTTCCGAAATGTGCAAGCTTGATGCCTGCAAATCCATCCACCTTTCAGCTTGAATACATATATGATATGCGAGACAGATTCAGTGTTTCCACTCAAATTAAACAATTTTCCAGTAGATAAATCACAAATATAGATGTGTAAAATCACAAGCAGGAATTGGGAAGTGGCCTTGGTTATTGAATTAGTGGATATAAATACGATCCTAAGTTGATAGATCACAAATTCGAAAAGCTAAACCAGGGCTGAAAAAGAATAAAGAGAAAAGGGATATGCGAGACTAAAGTGCAGGAATCATTTTTGAGCTAAAACCCAAAATGGTTAAATATGCAGGTGTTTTTAGGTTGTGACAGGCCACTGTCAGATAACGAAAAAAAGACTGATATAGAAGATTCTCAAATTTAACAATCCCCATACCAATGATACCAGATACTAAGGTATTAGAAAGAAAAAACATATATGAAACTTCAACAGTGTAAAGATATTGTAGATCTATATAAACATCAAGATATTTCCACCAGCATGACGGCATGTACCTGATACACAGATTAAAGACCACAAGACCTTACCTCAACTCCTCCATTTTCTTGAAGAGCTTGAGAAACCAAAGCAATTCCTTTATTTGTTGCTTGACATCTAGCCAAAATAGCCTCTGCTTCTCCTAAATTAACATAAATAACAAGGTTAAAATAGCTCTATATTTAAGCTTCTTAATTCCATATGCCAACTTACCCTGAACTTCCAACATCATGGAACTCTTCTTTCCATCAGCAATGTTAACACTTGGTTGTCTTTCTTCTGAAAAATAGAAAAATAAAAAATAGCAGAAGTTCATAATCACATATTTCGTGAGTGCAAATGGCAAACTATCTATTACGGTTCCATTCACCCATGAAATGGATTAACACATAAAACTTTAGGCTCTCAGTACGAGTGACAAGGCATGCAAATATAGGTTGTTAAAGAGTAAATTGACGATTCTAAGATTTTACCATGGCTTGATTATGTTCCAAAATGTCTCAATGAATTTACAGAAGATGAATATTATAATATATGGTATAAACTTCCAGAATGACAAGCATGCATGTTTTAGCACATGTTCACCACTCCAGTTTGAAACAAATACACTGGTTATGATGATATGCTGCACCTTGTAAAATTTAAGGTATATTAAGATCACCTTATAGGGGTTTTATTACCTTCCGACTCCAGAATTTGGGCTCTCTTTTTCGGCTCAGCTTCTGTCTGCATCCCCATACCTTCTTTTACACCACGGGGAGGAGATATATCCCCTATATACAAAAGAGCTCAGATGTAAGGCAGAGTATTCATAACAAAGTTTTTTCTGGAAAGTATCAAGTTAAAATTATGCTTGACTGAAATACTATAGTTTACTTGTTTCACAACGAAGACATTGCAAGCCCCAATCTTTTGCAGCTTCATTGATAGCTATCTGGAGAAAAGTACATTATCACAGCTATTACTTATGTGCAAATTAGTGTCCAGACTCCAACTCTTTTTCACAGCTATTATCACAATAAAGAGAAGATATGTGTATAACATGCAACGAGAGTCCTTCAAATGTTGGCAACCAATTCACAATGATTTCAAATGGTAAGAAAGAAATGTGACATAGCTAGTTGTGTGAATATCTCCAGAATTTTAACTATTTTCAGCAATCTATACACCTTATAGAACTTCAATGAACTGCTCCAACCCTCCCACTCTATCTTGAACTCACACATGCATTAGCTTGTTAAATTCATATATAATATCTTCCTTCCTTTTTCAGTGGCTGAACTTGGTAACTATAAGCATGTACACCAGCTGAACTTGAATAACCAATGAGATACACAATAAAAACCAAATCAGAGAACCAGTTATGGGGGAGTTGGTATACAATATTTATATGTATGACACCAATGTCGCAATGCCAACATGCAACAAACAGCACAGTTCATTGTTAGGGTTTGACGAGTTGCAGTCTGCTACTCAAAGTGCAAATTACTTGCATCAAAACAGAGAGTGATCCCCAGAGTCATATTAAGGTTTAACTATACAATTTTTTGTTGAGTCTTTTGTCGTTTTCACTAAAGTTAGTCTTGATTCATAGAGTCTAGAGTCTAGGGTTGCATTCAAGTTTAGTTTTACTTGGTATTAAGATTAGAAAAGTTGTTTGCTTTGTACAATGTGTAATGATTGAATCGTTGTAACCAGGTGTTTCCTGTCGAAACGAGCCCACTTGTCTTTTGGTGCAAGTAGATTCAAAGATACTTGACTCGGCCACTGACATGCAAGACCAATACACACCTTGTGTACATGCTGTCTTTTGGTGACACAAAAAGCCACTCAATAAATCATTGTTGGTCTTACCATTGTCCTACAGAACTTCGTTATTAGTTACAATGGGATATGCCGATTGGCGATCGCATAAGACTCTTGCAACTTGTCATCATCTTAACCATCCTACTTTTATCTTATGACAAACATACCTGTCACTTTGTCCATCTTTTTTGTAATATTGAACACGAATAGCAGACTATGTTTTTTAACTACCTGTCTACTTGCTTGGTTATACCTACCATCTTCCACTTCCATATCAAAAGCATATACTGGGACCAGATGCTCAACTTTCATTCATTAAGCATCCTATTGTCATAATAGTGACACAAAATATTCCAATGATAATAATAACTTCCTGAAGAGCTCTCAAAACTTCTTCAGAAATACTATTAGAATCAAGAGTTTCAACTACTTCTATCACTTTTGGAGAGTATTTCTTAGGGGCCGTTTACCTAAATGCTTACCCGGTAAGCGCTTACCGTTAGGAGTCAACACTATAATTTATTTTATCAAGTAAGAGTTGTCACCTTCACTTACCGGGTAAGATTCTCCATCCTTATTATCGCTCTTACCGGGTAAGATTCTTACCCCTTACCATGTTCATCCGATGAGGAAAATTGCCCTGTAAGTACTTACCAGGTAAGCGTTTAGTAAACGCCCCCTTAGTATTTGGTTTGCCTCCAATAATAGATTTTACAAACAAAAGTTTATTAGCATCATCAAAAAGAGTCATCAAGCTTCCTTATACTCTCCCCTCATGTTTACTAAAAAATCATCAAAATGATATCTCCATTTGTAATTTCATCGTCTTCAACAAAAAGTCTCTGCTTGTTATCTTTTATTGACTGAAATCCCTCCCTTCTTTACTCTTATCGTGTCAGCCTGGCAATTCTAGCTTCCCCCCTTTTGCCCAAATTTCTTGTACATTCTTCGTATGTTTTTTTCTTACTATTTCCTTATCCCCATCCTCGTTAGATTATTCCTATATATGTTACATACACTCTTAAAACCATGTAGGAGTCTATGGTATCTATTTTTCTCCTTAACCTTTTATGTGTCTTCATTCCAGCACCTAGTAAACTTTAGTTTCTTGTTGAAAAAATATAAGTTAGGGTTGCCATCACCAAAAGCATAACATGTACAAGTTTTGAGATGAATTTATATATAAAGAATTAAAGGGAACACAATGTGGGCATGTGTAAAAAACTTTGCAGATGCTTGATAAGTTCCACAACATAAACATGCACCCAAATCAAGTAAACATATCAAAAGTTGCAGAAAACCATATAGGTTCCATAATACAATAAGCTTTTAACCAAATCATGGCCCTTCACCTAAAGGGTTGGGTTCCGGTGAGAAAGAGAGTTAAGGTGAGAAGCATAAGAAGGAATCTCCACCCTTGGATGCATATTAGGATGAGATGCACTGTGTATCAAGCACAATTCATGGGTGGGTTTGAGATTAAAGGTGATCAAGGTCCAGATCCCTTACGCTTTCTCACCTTAACTCTCCTTCCCCCACGATCCTTCGCCTTCACCTAAATATGTCTTCACCTGTCTCAGATACCGCATATAATTTCAAATGATGTACAGTTATAAAGTATCACTTGGTCTGACAGTATGCTTTCCTTGAGGTCCTAGACCAACACGCTATTAAGCATATAGATATATTTCATGTAAATGGACTCGGCACAATTACAATTAAGATTATTCTGATAAAAAAATATATATAACATATAATAAAAAGAAAACTACAATGAGAAACCCACCACTATCTTGTCGTTCAATGTGTTTCTTTCTTCAAATGTTTTATCAAGGGTGATCTTGCCAAGATCACTATGCATAGTGGTCTGTGCAAGCTGAATGACAGGATATCGTGGATTTTCCATTCGATATGATGGCGGCATAGAATCAACCATCTGTAACAACATATTCAAATACACAAATAAAAATAATAATCATTAAGTCAGTCCGTTGAAAATCTTAAACCCAATACTGCATTCCCAGACCTTAACATAGAGCACTCCATCTACCAATATGCTGACATTGTCCTTGGTAATGGCAGATTGGTCTGCGACAGGAATTGCCTCCTCTTTAAGAGAATGCACGTGGGAAGCTTTGTCAACAAAAGGAATCAACAAGTGAATCCCAGGTTCCAAGGTCTTAGCGTATTTTCCGAATCTTCCAATCATGTAAGCCTTCTTCTCAGGTACTATACGGATGCCCCAATTAACAGGTGGTGGAGTATCATAACTAAAATTTCAACCATAACGTGTCATTAAGTAAACAAAGTGAAAATACATGAAGTACACTAGCAGCACCATGGTGTGTGGCAATTGAAGATATATGACTGTATATGATTAAGAGTAAGGGTGAATCCAGGTTACCTGTTACTGGGATTGCGAGAGGTACGAAAATGGCGGACATAAGAGGGGGAGAAAAACAGCGACTTGAAGTGATTAGATGAAAGGAAAAACGATCGGTTGAGAATGGTAGATTTGGACGAAGCTTCAATCGGCGATTGTTGAGTACTGTTGAGTGATCTGAGTGAGTTAATAGCAGCTTGGGATCTCAAGAAGCGATTCATTGCTATCAAATTGGCATTGAAAGTGAAAGAAAACTGGAGAAATGAGGAAAAGCCCTTTGATAAACCCCAAGGGTTTCAACACTCCAAGACGGAGAAAGTGAAAGAAAAAGGAAAACTCATCAAAAGACAAAAATGACTGAAAATGTTTTTCTAGAAATTAAATTTAGGTAAAGATATATATATATATATATATATATATATTAGAAGCGTACTCGCACAATGCAACGAGATACATCATGATTTTAATATTTCATTTTATTCCTTATCTCAGTCGATGTTATAATATGGCTTTATGTGATTTTGAGAAAGCGGTGATGTTTTTATTTTTGAATAAAATATATGTTTGAAGATATCATAAAAATTTGACAAAAATATATCGATATTAGTATCAAATTAACTATTT